GCAACCACTGGTCTACTGTCTGCCTTCCTGGACTTGCTCTTCTGGACATTTCATTTGGATGGGCTAGTGCAGTAGGTCGACTTCTCTGACCAGCTTGTTTTGCTCAGCCAAGGTTGCCTATGTTGAAATTCATAGTATCATTTCATTTCCTTTTATAGCTGACTAACACTCCTTTACAGACCACATTTTGTTTATCCCTTCTCACTTGATGAGCATCTGGGCTAGGTCCACCCCTTGGCTACTATGAATAATGCTGCTGTAAACATTGGAGTATGTTTCTTCACAGACAGAGGTATGCTTTCCTTTTTCTTGGGGTACTATGCCTCCAAGCTGCTGGGGCTTAATCCAGTCGTTTTAAGGAGTTTAAAGGAGTCCCTGTGGCTCAGTGGTTACAGGTCCATGGATTGAGCCCACCAGCCAATCTGAGAGTAAGAGACGTGGCAGTCGGCTTCCATAAAGACTTAAAGCCTCAAACCGCACAGGGCGGTTCCACTCTGTCCTGACAGCTCGCTGAGAGTCAGGATCAATGCCACAGTCAAGGGTTTACGCTGTGTGTTTAATCATTTGAGGAACTGCCAAACTGTTTTCAAAGCATCTGCACCGTGTCACCTTCTCCCCAGCGGGGGAGAGTTCCAGCTTTCCCACATCCACAGGAGCGTTTGCTGTTACCAGACTTTTTCAGCCTCACCATCCTGTCATTAAGATGCTGTAGAGTTGGCCTGTCTGTCAGTGACCCGGGGTCCAGTGGTGTAAAACACTGTCTGGTCCTGTACCTTCCCAGCCATCTAGGGCTTTTCTGGTAAGCACCTTTAAAAATAGCAGTTTTTAAAAAATTTATTATATTTTGTGTGTGTACCGTCAAATCGGATCTGATTGGTACAGGAAGAGATTGCCCCTCCTCCTCCAGCAGAACATCTGATGGATTCGAACCATGCTCCTTTGGGAATGCAGTGCCGCTTCTTGCTACTAGACCACCGGAGCTCCCTTAGCAAAAGAAACAGCTTTCTTAAAAAAAAAAAAAGAAAGTTTAGACTGGATTTCCATTTATTCATTGTTACACTTTTCTCCCTGTCCAGCCTCTCCCCAGATAAGCTCTTCTCTTTGAAAAGTAAAAGAAAAAAATTCTTTCATTGTTATACAGTCCCTCCCCCCATTCCATTATGCAGCCTTCATACTGGACTCTTGTCTTGACAATAAAACCTAATCATATATTCCTTTTAAACAGTTCTCTCCCTCACCTGTTTCAATGAAGTATACATTATATATCCCCTCTTACTCAGTCTCTCCTCAACCCCGATGTTAATCCCATTTTACAACAGTGGCCCTATGCAATATTTGTCCTTTTGTGACTAAGACATTTCACTCAGCATAATGTCTTCCAGGTTCATCAATTTTGTATATTTCATGAGTTTCTTGTTTTTCAACGTAGCATAGTATTCCATTGTGTGAATATACCACAGCTTCTCTATCCATTTGTTTGTTGATGGGCACTTAGGTTGTTTCCAACTCTTTGCTATTGTGAACAAAGCCGCAGTAAATATGGGTGTGCATATTGCTTGGGTTGCAGTTGTGGTCTCTTTGGGGTATGTTCCCAGTAGTGGAATTGCTGGGTCAAATGGTATTTCTATTTGCAACTTTTTTTTATTATTATTTTTGTGTGCGTGTACCGCCAAATCAGATCTGACTGGTACAGGAGGAGATTGTCCCTCCTTCCCCGGCAGAGCATCTGGTGGATTTGAACCGTTCACCTCTGGAATTGTAGTTGCCGCTCCTTGCCACTAGGCCACCAGAGCTCCCCTTACTTGCAACTTTTTGAGAAAGTGCCATACAGCCTTCTATAGTGGTTGTACCATTTTACACAAAAATAACAGCTTTAAGTACATAAAATGGGAGAGACTGGAGAGCATTATGCTGAGTGAACTACCTCAGTCTTATAAGGATAAATACTGCATAAGACTATGATTCTAAAAGTAGAAATCTAACTAGTAAAATGTGTATGGAAGTTCAAGGCGGGAAGGGTGGGTGGGAACAGAGGTGTGAGGAATGGGCAGGGGGGAAATCATGGTTTCACACAATATGGTGGGTGGAGGGAAGGAGTAAAGGAAATGGGAAAGATTTAGCAGAGACCTGAGAAGACGAGGTAATGGTGGGCATAGTTCAGTGGTGATTAGTTTTTTAAAACACAGTGTATGGGAATGATTGTATGAAATAATGTGAATGAAGAATAGTGTGAAACACAGTATGAATTTAGATGCAAACAATCTAAAATTTTAAAAATACCTGGCCTATCCTTAAAAAACTAACAGCTTTATTTAGCTATGATTCACATATCATAAAATTTTAAGTGTAGAATGTGCTTTGTGTATGTTTAGAGTTGAGCAACCATCAGACTTAACTCCTGAAGAAACATTTCATCGCTCCCAGTAGGAAACCCATGTCCATTAGCAGTTCAGCTCCCGGACACAGGTCATTTATTTTCTGTGTCTACGGATTTACCTGTTGAATTTTCCTCCTACTATGTTCAGTTTACTTTTAAATATATTTTGTAAAACACAAGAAAACATTGGCTGTCTCAACCCTTTTTATGTGTACAGTTTAGTGGCCTTCATTACGTCCCCCTTGTTGAGTCCTTTTTTAAGTATTCCTGTATGAGCAGTGACCAGTGCTGCAAGGGTGAGAAAATGGTTCCTTTAGGAAGCGAATTTCTTTTCCAACTAGTACATGCAGGGATGGTTTTCCCGGGCCTGGGCTTCACTAGAGAGGATGGAAGCTTAGCAGGAAGAGGTGGAATGAGGTGTCAACACCAAGGAGGGAGTTCCCTGTTCCTCCCGGCTGGGGCCCACGCCTGGCCCTCGTGGCTGGGAGGTCACTCTCTCAGGTGGGGCTGCTGACAGGATCCAGAACTTCAGTGTCCTCTGTCTGTGCTGGACACCAGGCCTGGCTTGTTCCAGGAACGAAGATGGCACCACTCTCCTGCAGGCGCTAGCAGGTGACAGGAAGGTCCAGTCAGCACTGCTGTGTCCCTGGACACCCACGAGGGCTGAGGACAGCTTGCTTGGGGCCAGGCAAGAGGCTGTTTGCTCAGGCCCACCTCTTAGGAGCTCTGGAACTTCAGGTCACCCTTCCTGACTGGAGATGTGAGCTGCATTGACTCAGTATGGGTGCACCTGTCACAGATCAGGACTCACATGGGTTCTCCTCCACAGCCCTGTCCCCAAGGAGCAGAGGCTCAAGGAGGTTGCGTGCTGATGGAGGCTTTGAAGGCCGTCTCCTTAACTGTAAAGGGGTTTATAATTGGCCCTCTCTCTCCAGTGCCGAGGCCAGCCGGCACAGTTATCAGCACCCTCTGGGCCTCAGACAGAGAAACCAGACAGGCCCCTTGTTCCAACCACGCTGCTGCCTCACCTTCCCGGCTGCTCTTAGCTTGGCCTCTTTCATCTCAGTTTAATTAGCCAGGCCGCCCCACCCCCCAGCCTCACAGGCTGGAGTCACCACTCCCATTTTATAGATGGGGAAACTGAGGCATATAGAGGGAAGTGGTTTAGAGCTGCCGCCTGTGAGTCAGCAGTGGAGCCAACAGCTGGGCCTTCTGGCTGGACCTGTCTCCTTGGGCGGATCCCTGTCTCCGTGCCCCTCTCGGCAGCCTGGGCACCAGCTTCCTGTACCCCACCCCAGACCCTGCCATGCCCCACCTCCTGGTGGATGGGTGGGGAGAGGCCAGCGCAGCGGGGTGGGGGGGGAGGCGAGAGACAGTGGCAGCGGGTGGCATGGGGGCTCGGGCTGTTTCATCTTCAAAGTGGGCTAATTAGTCAGTGGCGTTGGGCAGGCGTCAGATGATGGACGCCCGCGGGTCTCTGTCTCTGGGGTCATTGGGGCCCAAGCCAGGCCCCCTGGGTATCCCACCAGAGCCAGGGTCCAGCGTTCTGGGTTCCCACCCCCGTTCTCATAGGGACCAGGTGTCCCGGTGGGTGCCAGGCGCGCTGCGAGCCAAGTGGCCCTCCTGGCCCTGCCAGCCCGCACGTCCTGAGCCAGGATCCCGTTGTTTGCCTGGTGGCGATGGCCCTGCCCGCCGCGACCTCTGCCAGCCCTGGCGTGACCTCTGGCAA